CTGTAAGTATAATTAGCCTTATTGCCTGAAAAAATTGGTGAAGCAATGAGAGGAGTGAAAGGATGTCATTCCAGCTACTCAACAGTACCTTTCTATATCACCTGCTGTTTTACTAGACACCTCAGCACAGCTTAAGAGCCATATTTCAGTGGCAAAGAGCAATAATTCAGTGGAGACAAGAGAGATGATGCTTTCACTTTGGAGGCAACTCCACTGAGTTTCTACACTGCCTATTAACACCAAGATTTGGGGAATTTTTGAGGAGATGCAGGCTCTTGAGTGACTTTGTCCTTGATTTGTATTGCTTTGTATTTTTATTGCTGTTCCTTATCATGGTTTTGCTTCAGAAGGCGTCAGTGGGATCTTTGGACAGATGGCTGATGGTCAGGTCCAACAGTAGCGCTGAAGTCAGTGGCAGGTGTGGAAGAATTTGACCTCCTATATACAGGGAGAATAGGAGCCATTTGCCTGAGGTTCAACCCCACCAGCTTTGTTATGAATGTAGCCAAGGTTTTGGAAATATTGACTCTATAAACCAATAGGGGAGATGCTGCCACACCGGTGCACACTAGCACCTACCTGGAGATCAGAGCCTTTGGGCTACAGAAATGCTTACACAAGCGTTCCCATCAGCTGGCAGGGTTATTGCTGGGACCGTTCCTATTAACACTGGTACAATTAGCACTGAAGGCAATATGTTGGCATTATGGGAACATGCACAGTAACAGGTGTCAGCATCCTGTTTTCAAAGCTTGCTTTAATCTAGGCTTGAGGATAGAGTTGAAAAGTCGCTCTGTTTTCCTTCACAAACGATGTGATTTTTCACCGGGACGTGTTTTAATTCTCCAGGGGCCTGCTCTAAAGCCTACTGACGTAAACAGGACTCTTTCCAGATAATTGCTTTAATCTAATCAAGTTATCAGCTATATTTCTTAACTTTCTGTATCTATCTATCTATCTATCTATCTATCTATCTATCTATCTCGTCTCTGACTAGGTTTTGTGTGATACATATACATAGACATATTCACATACATACATACATTATATACACACACACACACACACACACACACACCACCACCACCATGCCACAACTCATGTGTCCAAACAGCATCAAAAATAGCAAATATTTGATGATTCAATACAAAAAGATCCTAAGGCACTAAAAGGCAGGTTTGAAAAACAACTTGTGCTTCTAAATACAGGCAATGTGGCTTTATCTACACAATATTGACAGTCAATCATTATAAAACATTAGTACTAATCACATAGTTGCTCACCTAGAAGAATATCCTATTTCCTGATCTTGGTTATTACTGAATCCTGGGAGTTTATGAATAGCCCAAACCTTTCAATGTTGTTTTTCAAGTCAATTCGATGTTTTTGATCAAAGATGCGACCACCTGCAGGCACCAGTGTTGCACATGGTGCCTTGTTTTGCTCAGCCTGTGACTTACAAAGAAAAGTTTTGTAAATTATCCCTAAAAGTTACGAGTAATTTGCAATGCAGTGGTTTAGAGCCATGTGGGCTGAAGACAGTGGGACTATTGTGTGGCAAAAGGATTGGGCCCTTCAAGCTGGGCCAATCGTCTGGTGCTGTCAAATGTTTCCCTTCCTTTACAAAGCCAAGGTTGTCCTAAAAAGACAAACAAACAAAACCCAGAGCTGAGCTCTGCTCTGCTCTGAGTGCTTGAGTCATTTCTAAATAAGGCAAAACCCTGGAATGCAAGAGGACAGCATCAGAAGGCTTTTTGAAAGAAAGTAACTGAAAACATGGCTAGTGCCAAAGTTACTGCTCTGCAAACATTCGAAAAGGCTCATTAGTGATGAGCAGGATGTCATTATGGACTTGGATTGCTCCATTGGCTGGATGAGTGCAGAAAAACAGCTTGAAGAAATGAAGCAAGCTACTAAATTGGGGCATGTTCAAAGGGCAGCGGTTGCATTATTTCAGATTCGAGGGATCCTAAATATTCAAATATTGGACCAGGTTCTTAGCTGATATGAATTGAGGTAGCTTTATTGAAACCACTTCATGCTACCTAAAAATCTAGACCCTTTATGACTAATAGGTGCCTGTTGGCTGTTGGCTAAATCCACCCCACAAAACCCAGTCAGACACGATCTCAAAATCCTTCCGACCCTTGACAAAGTGAGGAAAGCCATCAAGCCGATGAAGAATAACAAGGTACCTGGAGCTGGCTGACTCCCTGCCAAAATCTTTAAGCATGGGGGAGAGGAGCTCACATCATAGCTCCATGTCCACATCTTAAAGATCTGAAATAAGGAAATCCCAAACGACCTCAGGGTTGCCAGGATTGTGTGAATCTTCAAGAAAGTAGACATGGGCAACAGAGAAATTACCTTGCTGTCCACCACAGTACAGACCATCACGTTAACCCTCCTGAACTGTCTCCTTCCACTTATCGAAGAGTTGCTCATGGAGTCTCAGCGTGAATTTAGGGCATCAAGATACACAACTGATTTGAGCTTCATTGCTCGCCAGCTGCAGGATAATGTGGGGAACAACATAAGCCTCTCTTTACGTAGTCTTCTTTGACCGCATAAAAGCCTTCAACTCTTGTCAACCAAAAAACGCCATAGAGCATCCTTCTGAAATATGGATGCACACCAAAATTCATCATCGTTCTTCACCTGCTCCATGACAGTATGCATGTGGTGGATCTCAGTAACAGACGTATCACAGATCTCTTTGAAGTTAAGACAGGAGTTAAGCCAGGCTGCATCACTGCTCCAAAACTTCTTACTGAGATGCTACATCTGACCACCAACAACCTTCCCTGTCAGAGTGGAGCTAACTTACCAAATGGATGGTAAGATGTTTAAGCTCAGTTGAACCAACCCCAGTCATTGAGCTCCAGTATGCTGATGATGCTGTAGCATGCGCTCATTTAGAAGCAGACCTTCAGGCAATCGTCGACATTTTTACTAAGGACACAAGAAAATGGGACTGACGCTTAACATTCAGAAAACGAAGGTTTTCCATCAACAAGCTCTTAATAAGCAGTCCCCAGCTCCAGTAATTCAGATTCATGGTGAGACTCTGGAGAATAGTTGAGTATTTCCCATGTGTCGGAAACCATCTCTCTCAGAAGGCTGACATAGATGATGAAGATGACATAGACAAACGTTGCCTCAAATGTATGAGTGCAACCTTCAGATACCCAAGGAAACAAGTGTTCAAAGATCATGATGTCATATCCGAAACCAACCTCATGGTTTATCAAGTGGCTGTGATCCTTGCCTTATTGGAAGGGGTTGAGATATGGAGAACATACAGGAGAGATCTCAAGCTGCTGGAAAAATGCCATTAACGCTGCCTGCGGGAGATCCTTCGAATCCAGGGGGTAGACAGATGCACCGACATTAGCATCATCTCAGAAGCAAACACCACAAGCATCAAGGTGGTGATTATTCAACTTCAATTTCACTAGGCCGGCCACTTCATATGTATGTCCAACTCCAGACTCCTGAAGCAAGTTTTATTCTCCCAGCCCAGTCAAAGCATATGCTCAAAAGGAGGGCAGAGAAAGCCCTTCAAGGACGCCCTCAAGGCCAACTTGAAAAAAATGCAACATCAACATTGTGGGAATCTATTGTGCAAGGCCATGCCAAAGTTGCTGCAAGGATCTTAGTACTTTGAAACCTTATTGCAACAGCAGGAGATGGAAAAGCAGGAGTGGCAGAAACACCATGTCATGGACCGAATCATGAACCCAGAGTCACCCACCTTGCATGGAAACATGTGCTGGAGCTGCAGCAGAGTCTGTTGATCCCAGATCAGCCTCATCGGCCATCTTCAGACCCATAGGTAAGACAATCATGGAAGACAATCATCCTTGACGGCGAGGGATTGCCATTGATTATGATGACCTAAATGAGTATGGCATCTCAGACTTGGTGGGGTTCCTTCATTCACTCATAAGGAGAAAAATTGCCTTGGAGTATCTTGCAAATATTCAGATAGCCCACCACCCCCTTGTGCAGTTTAGTTCAGTGTAACAGGCCCAAGTCCTAAAAATAAAAAGGGTCTTATGGGGGTGAGATGGGAATTTGTTTCCTGCAATATCAGTGGTCCTTACACCACTCTGTTCCTACCAGGTATCTTTCACTAATGTTGCAGTCAGCTACAAGGAAGCATCAAACAAAACTTGATCCAGCAAACAGCCTTACTTGGAGGGTACAGACCTGGAGAGAGGTTTAGTAGATTAAAGGGAATAAAAAGCCCACTGAGATTCAAGGAAGGTTTTCGGTGATCTCTGCCCTGATGAGAGACATGGATACACTGAAAACATGCCACGCCCATAGCAAATATATACATGCTTTCCAGTCTGGCACCAGGCCTGAAGCTTATTGCCTTTTTTTTTTACAAGAGTTTAAATTTAATATTGAAATGAAGAGTAAAACCTCATTTCTGCCTCTTTTTCTAGTGTCTTTGGATGCGTAAGCTTAGTTTTGCTGCTAGCTTAATAATTTTCTCCTTGATGCTTGTTCTAAATTATGTCGAGAAAGTGGGAAAAGGATCCACAAGTTTTAACGCAAGTTTAAAAAAAAAAAGTCAAATGTACATGATGACCCCATACTTGACTATGGTTAGCAAAACTCATGCAACTTAGTACTATCTTGTTAGTTATTATATATGCCATGGCTGTAAAATAATATATAGAATTTGAACATAAGCTTTTTTTGTAAGTTGGCAGTATTGCAGTGTCCTTTGGCTAAAGACATAAAGCAAGGCTTTTGTATTAGCCAAATTTAAATCTTTAGGCCTATAATACCTCAAATCCTCCTTCTGTAGGTGCTGAGAGACCACAAGCAATTCTCTTTGTTCCTTTGTGGCTTTTCTCCTTCAGCAATTTCTCCCTCTCGTGGCTGTATGGCCATCATGGTGAACCATGGTGTACTCAAGGTGCCTTCCGTGTGTCAATGCCAAGGAGTGAGGATCAGCCGCAAAGTGTTGAAAGCACAACTATACATAACTTTATATAGATATATATATTTTAATCAAAACATAGAAAAACTGTTGAGTACAAAGAGTAAAGCTGGTAAATGGAGTATTTGTGATTAATTATGTCCCTCCCTCCTCTATTTTTGATAGTTAAGAGCATACATGCATCTGGTGATAGGCAGGTGCAGAAAACAATTAATCCAATTTCTTGCACTAATTGTTGGCTTCAATTAGGCAGACAGCTTGTTGGGGTGAAGGAATTCATCACAGTCGATTCTTTTGTGATGAGCAGGATCTTTGCTGTTATGTAGTATTTCCAATTTATTTTTTAAAGGGAGGATGCTCGGTGTAATTTTTGTATCCAGTGCCACGTGGAAATATTTAAAAGCCACTGGGGCAGAAAAAATTAAGGTGAAATCAATGCAAAGGAACAGGGTTAACACATCTACAGGTTTTCATTACAGAGAACTGCTAAGAGTTCTTTCTCCCCTTAAGTAGACTCAATTTCCAAAAATGTCAGCTGATGTTTTTTTCAAAAGAAATCTCCAAAGTAAAATAAATAAATAAATACCAGAGCAAAAACTTTCCACTAACATCTAGCTGAGATCGGGTGTTTCACTAACCAGTACTCTTTATCTTAAATACCTACCTACTTTGGCATGCGTTCAAGGGACCTAGTGGTTATTTACAATCATATTCGTAAGCCTACGGGTTATTACCTAGTACACTGTAGTATCCAACCCATCGCAATTCTCAAGTTGCCATGCAAAGCCAGTTATAAATAAAAAAATCTTCACTCTTAACTTTTTCCTAACTTTTGCTATGGTGTTTTGTTTCTGTGAAATATCTTTGGTTTAAAAAAACAAAAATCTAAAAACTTCTCTCCCCCCAAGGCCCTCAGATCCTCACACCTGGAAATGCATGCTTTTAAAGGGGAAAAATCTGGACTACAAATCAATATTTGTTTGGGTAACCTCAGCTTTATCTGGTTTAGCATTTGTTCTATTACCATTTGAATTTCATTTTCAGGTAGTCCTGTATAATATCAGCGTAGGATGCATCATTAACTTTGAGTGAATGTTTTCCATTGGCAACTATTATTTTCACCAAATGTCAAGGTTTGACATTTGATATCATTATCTAGTATTGGTATATCACTCATACTGAGATTTTGTTTCTTCTTATCTGATATTGAATTCAACTGTGACCAGCTGTGCTGCTAATAAAATCAACAGCCAAGTATCTGGCATTCAGTTCATCATGGGGAAGAATAAAGAAGTAGCATTTCAATTAGGAGGCTTGCCTATATCCTTGCAATATCCATCTTTTGAAGTTGCCGTGGATGCAGTGCTTCTGATTGATTCCCTTGGGGAAAGGAGCATGAAGGAAGTCTTCATGTGGACTCTTTAACTCTCAGATGAAATATTCCTTTTTGCTCTCATCCACCGCCTCCTGGAGAGTAGGGTCGTTTTTCAAAGCGGCATCTGCACTTTCGGCACATTCAGTTCCCTTTGCCTCGTTGGTGTGGTAGGTGCCTTTGTGCCTGTACAGGTACCGAAGCATCACAATCACCAGGCAAGTGAGGACAAAAGCAATTGCTGCAATAACGCCTAGAAGGAGAAGAGAAAGGATTGGATGTCTTAATTAGCCACAGTACACAGCCCTCACTTGACATCCCACCACTGAGTGTTCAGTAGAGAGGAGAGAGCAGAGACTGGTTATAAAATAATTTGTTTGCAAATATCTAGTTGGTCTAATAAAAGATATCACCTCTTCCATGAGTTTTAATTTTTTTTTTCGCCTCTAGGCCAATATGGCTACAACCTGGGTACCTGACACAGTGGAGAGGAAGCATGTATTGTAATAAGACATTCAGACCTGATGGGGATGAGCAGGGTTT